TAGCCGTTTGGAAAACAGATACTGCACAAAGAAAAGTCATTTTTCCGAACAGGAAAGACTTTTAGAAAAAGCTTTTTACGAATCGATAGAGTGAATGCTCTAGTTTCACACTACGTATTATTTGCAAATAAATATCTTTCCCTTCTTGCAGTACAGACTCATTTTTCATATAACCGTGATTTTTCAGCTAAATTTTGGAAATGCGATTTACAAAAAACTATAATAGCTGAAATAAAAAAATTTGTGCTATCAGATAGAGCACGTCTTGAACTGTATTACTCACTATTTCAATCAATTAAAAGTCGTGTTCTAATTTTTCACCTAATGCTCGGATGGATATCCATGCGGACATCCATGAATGCACACTATGCGGCACCATAATTTGAAAAAGACAGTTAGTTCAAATAGTAGATTTACCTTTAAATAAAGTTAAAAAGCCAGCAGTTTTGCTATTATTAATTTTATGAAACGAACACTCGTAAGAATTTGAATATAGACCAGACACAGAAAACTACTGAATTTGCCGTTATCCTTCAGTATTTTAAATGTCGTTGTGATAACAATCCGCTTCTAAAGGTTGATCTGTCACTACGGATATTAATTCAGAAAAAAATGTATCTAACTTACATTGCCATTCCCCTCGGTAACGGTTACAGACAACGGTTACTGTTCATTTATTTTTTACCAATTCGTCGTCTACAGCGATCAATACATTTTAAACGAGTAAGTTGTTAATAAACATATTGGATCAAATATAAATTATACAATAGAAGAAAATGAATGGAGAATATTAAGCGAAAAATCACAATCAAAAATTCAGATCAAGTGAAGTGGGAAAATCAGAGAAGTGGGTGGAAATTCTACATTATGAAGGATTTCTATTGAACTAAATGTGTTTTTATTTTTAGTTATCCTGATGTCGATATTGCTATGGTTGTCTATGAAGCATTATTAGGATCAATTCGTTGTCTACAGCAATCAATACATTTTAAATGAGTCAGTTATTAACGAATTTATAGGCGTATATTTTATTTTATTTATTCGTAGGTTAAGAATCCTCAGCTTGGTGGATCGGATTTGTGGTTACCCTGTTTATACTTTGATCCTGAAGGTGTAGCACTTACACTAGACAAAATTGATAGAAATAAATTATGTAAACCATTGGTTACAATGGCATGCCAACTATACATGGTTAACTGTCAAAATTTTCGACAATTACATTTGGGATAATGGCAAAAAGTCACGTTTTTCCTGGATGTCTAAATAAACTTCAACGAGAAGAACATTGAACTTGTAGAAAATTCAGGTTAAAAGTTGCATTTCAAACAATCGGAGGATGTAATCGACAGGATCATACCTCCTGGTGTGGTGATTATCCATTGCTACGGTGATTCATGTGTAAGGCTCTTACCGACTCTGTTCCGTGTAATTTCTTTTCATTTTGAAAACAGAGTGGATTCTTATGTTAGAAAAATAGATGTTTAAACAAAGGCAGAAACTGGCAAAACTGATCTTTGGTAATCAAGTTTGTTATAGGTCAACTTGGAAACATTCAGATTATTTAAGAGCAATAACATAAGTACAAAGATGAGTGAATTTAACAGCTTGTTTAAATTTAAACAAGTTACTAAATTACTCATCTATGTACTCCGAGCAACTTGGTTGCTACCCAGCAGTAGCTTATTCTATTCTGACTTCTAATTTCTTTAATACTGAAATCGAATGTTGAAATTGTGTTGGCGCCAGTATAACTGACAGATGAGTTTTCTACTAATCACTTATTTTCAATTGTATGTACGATTAAAATCTCATTAACCACATTGCGAGGAATAAAAAGAAGTCAGATTCTTGAGGCCAAGAATGTTCTGATGAATATTAGAGCCGCCGTGGCCCAGTGGTTATGTGGTCGGCGCGTACTCAGAAGATACTGTGTTCGAGCCTAGGCGCCACCTCCGCAGTAGTCTTGGGCGTGTTACTAATGGCTTTTCCCTCGGATCACCTGTCCGTAAGCATGCAGCTACGTTGTGGCATACGCTGGCTCTTCGGAGCTTGTATGTGGTTAGGGAGCGTGTCTAGGGAGCTCAAGCAATTGGGCGAAAAGAACTCTGAGTCCTGTTGGCCTTCTGTCCTTCGGTGGTTAGTATGAGACAGGTGATTGTTTCTGAAGACCACCAGCTGCTGGGAAGATATCGGGCTTTCGAAACTGCTTCGACAGCTGCCCATACTGAAAGGTAGCCGAAAGGAGTATTCTTCCTTCTTTCTGATGAATGCTTAACGATAAGAAGAGTGGTATATAAGACCAAGACTGGTCGATACAAAATCATAATTTCTACATTAGGCAAAGGTTTACATTTTCTTTTGATATTCAACAAAACTTGTACATGTTTTCTGGAGATAATCAACATGATTCTCACGCATAGATGGTGCAACATGTGGATGATAAACACAAAGAGACAGTACAAGTGGTTATCAATAATGAGATAGGCTGGCGCCTAGAGAAATACTGCGCATCAGGTACACCCGATGAGTATAATCAAAAAGACAAATTAGACAAGTACAACATAAGTGCAAATTATTATACTAATGTTATAAGCAATAAGGATGAGTACAATTCCCATCATATCGACAACGATTAATCACTAGTAAGGACTTTTTTCATTCCTTGTTTCATTCCGATAAGTGCAATTCCGTCACGTCCAGTTCGATAGTCTCGAAAACATCGAAAGACATTTTTTCTGTTTTTTCTATAAAAGAAGAGACCTTGTTATTGTCTTTATACAGTTTTTATTAACTTTCGAAGAAGAATTTGAAACCGATCGGGTTACTAAAAGAGGAGAAAAACAAATCACGTGTTGTTGTTATTGTCTCACAACTATTCGACAGTTGCAGCTGCGTCAAAAGATATATATAGTTTTATTAGTTTTGTTAGTCACTGATGTTTTTTTGTTCTTGTTAATGGACGGATGATACATGTAAATTCGCGGGACTAGTATGGCTACTAGCACGTTGCAAAAAATGATGATTTGATTATTAGACCAGTAGTCAGGCTGACTCTTCGAGACAAGGATCCAAGTGACGAATACAGGAATTGATCAACTGAGTGACACTGTCAAGGAGAGTACAAGGACCCGAATATTTGCGTTGCGAGAGTAGGAAGAAAGCTTCGATGAATGCTGGAAAATGTAGTCCTACAAGACAGAAATCATATACGTTAAAACGTAAATACAGACGCTGATCAATGTGCATATTTCTGACTAAACGGTATCGTCTGTTAACCTCTGACTTACCGGTTGCCGGAGATTGCAAGGCGAATTGTTTACATTTGTAGAATAGTTGAGCGTAGAGCATATCGATGGATGACATAGTGGTTGATTGATCGATAATGCCGCACATCCTATTCAAGCAGAGTGAAATCGACTCAAGTCTATCAACTGACATTTAGAATTGCAACAGTCGAGTACTTTTACAAGTCACTACTTATTTCAAGCCTATGGAAGAATTTTCCAAATAGAGATCCACCAAGTCTAATTTTATTGTTGAACTTGCTTGGAATTGCTTCTGATACTGATGTCAGGGTCGGGTAGTATTACCAAGGTAATGAAAAACCGCTGAAGATACGTAAAAAAGACACGACAGTTCAGAAAACCTTGCTGGTTATGAGAGAAAAGTAGCTAAGCTTCGTCTTTTGGTGTATATACGCATATTTTCAACAAAAAAAGTTTAAAACGTGTATAAACGTATCAGAAAATGAAAAATGATCGTTTTTCGCTTCTAAATGGAAACCACCATTACGAATGAAAACATTCAAATTCTGTGCTGTTCGTGTATTTTCGTACTTTTTCGTTAAATCAAAACTTTATGGCACAAAAATGTGACCTCAATATTTTTCAGTTCCAACTTCAGATTCGGATTGATACAATCTAAAAATCTCTAAGAAAGTGCGCCCTGATTGCCATTTAATCGCTTCTTGCACCACAATCCTTGGGCCACAAAATCTCTGGTGAAAAGGTTGCTGATGTCTGAACTTGATCCGTGAAGCGATAAAACGAGAATGGGTATTCATGGCTTTCTAAGTATTCTGAATCAAAGTATCTGTATCTGAAGTCGGCTTTGACGAATTTCAAGATCGAAGTTGTGTCTTCTAAAATCTTCAAATAAGTGGTATGAAGCTGGAGGGGGAAATATTTAAGATCTTTCATTTGATGGTATCTTCTTTTCTGTGAACATCAAACGATAAGCTAAGTAGATCCGAATGATTCCGGGTTAGGAAGAAAGTATCAGTGGAGAAACAAATTTTTTTTAGCTTTTTTCGGATAAAACGCAAATAAATTCGTACCATTCCACTGAGAACGGGGCAACTGGAATTGGGAGAGCGAAGTTAGGCCATGCAGATCATCATAAGAACGAACGCAACGAAAAAATAGGCTTGTGTTCTGCACGCAACTCTACAGAGAAAAGTCCATGAACTACAAAGCCGAGGGTTCTTTCAATAAACCGACTATGAATCTTATTTTTTTGCTTCTATGCAGAACGCTGAAATTAGGCGTCTTATGCGAGTAAAACTCTAGCTGTCCTCACAGCAAGGGAGCTATACCACAATTCACAGGTCCGCAGCTAGACGCCCCCACTGTTAAATATCCAAGGTAGTTGTTCTATTTGAACCTGGCTAATGTTTCAAGAGTCGTCTTCATTCTTGACTAGCTGTTGAAAGGAAAACGATGCAAGTTGCGAGATATCGGCTGTCATGCAACTGCAGGAAGCGAAACTGATCAATAAGAATGACGAAAACTAGCTGCATTTCGACGCATATTCTATCATTAGTTTCTTCTCAAACGTTCGAAAAAGGTACGTCTAAGATAGCTTAGGAGATAATCAAAATTGTTATCGGCTGGACAATGGATAACTTTTTGCTAAACCCACTCAATCCAGGGAACGGGTACGAAAAACTTGTCTCAAGGTCGATTTGATTTGGTTCATTGCCAGAAAGCTGACAATAAAACCTACCTAGCCAAGTTACGAAATGGCCAATTAGTCATTGCTTTATATCCGCGCTTGACCACTAATTCAATGTAGATAAAAGCAATTTTCTCCAGAAGAAACATGGGCTCGTATTTGGCTTGAGACGTTGATGGAAAGATAATCTTGAGTGATTTCATCGAGTTAGCTATCGGAGTATCAGCGGCTATAGGAATTCGACTCATCGACGATTGGACCACATTCTGTTTGCCTGAGATGGCCATCGATCCGTCTAGCGTTGGCAAATTTGAGTTGTCGTCGACGAAAGCTGAATCAGATGCTCCATTTGCTGTATCCTCACTGGAAGCTTGTGATCCTTTTCCTGTGTTGATCAAGGTTGCACTGACTGGTTTTGTAAGCGTTCTATTTCGCGTCGTGTTCATTGATTGATTAGAACCATTCGACCATTGATCGGGCAACTCTGAGTTCGACAATACTTGATATTGTTGTTCTTCGTCTTGGAGTTCTTCCGAAATACAATTCGACGAGCGGGAGTCAGACGGATTCAGCTGCAGGGTGCAACGCGTCGCCACCGCACTTTCCATATCGATTTCGCTTCGTACTTCTGATTGACGATGAGCAATGTTTTGATCGCCTTGAGCCACGATTTCATCGCTTGCTTCTAACTGGTTACGATGTCGCCTGTGTTTCCTATAAAAAAATGGTAAACTCTGCAGCTTTATTCCTTTCATGAGAGATTGCTAAATTCAATACACAAGTTCCTTATTCGACTTTATTCGGACTCGTGAAAAAAGTTCTGTCGATCTAGTACAGATGCTTTCTACCTACATCACGAGTTTCAATGTTGCCGAGACGAGTGATTTCTTGATTTCTTCGTCGATCGGACTTGGCTCGTGGACAAGTTTGCCTGAAATGATTAATGTTGAACTAACTGTCTGATATTAATAATCACTCTTACCAGCTTCATTGACATGATCGAAATCGATGCGTAACGAAGGATTCGCATTGACTTCAAGTAAGATCGGCTTTAGTTGATCAGTGAGAATAATATCGAAACCAATGATCTGCAAAATCCATCGAAATTTACAATTCTGTTTCTTGTAGTCGTATTTCTAAGGAGACTTCCGCGAACAAGAAACACTCCAGAAAAACAACGAAGCCCAGGGCAGGACGCTGGGAGCGAAAAGCAACAAAATAAACAACATTGGCTACGCAAGCGGATCATAAGGCAACCGAAAACAATTTTTTGACTTTGAATCTGATAAACCGATCAATGAATAAGACAACCCTGATTTAGAGTTGCCGCTACAAATTAATGTTTCATCCTGTTGGACGGCAAAAAATTGTCAGAAAGTCATTCTACAAGCAACGGTTTTTCATAAAAGGACATCCGACCTTTTATTGAACGTTAATCGAAATATAATCAGAAAACAACTACTAGACACAAGAAATACCATTTCGTAGCACTTGAGAGCATATTAAAGAAACAGTTTTCCTTCAAAAATCGACTAAGGAAAGAAGAATACGAATCTGAAAATAAATCCTGAGGGGAGAATATTCTTCAACTAATCAAAGTCGAGTCTGGATCGATGCTGCTCAGTAGCAAGGCTGCGCGTGTAATTGCATGTGACAAAGAAAATCATCTCATGCGATAGTCTCGAAAAATTGTTTTGTCCCAACATTCCATCAGACATCTGGAACAGTTGTCATCGGATATTGCAATTATTATCCCAGGAAAATACTTTCCTTTCTCGTGTGCATTCTCTTTCTTCTACTGCTGTTGCGGTGCTATTGGTTCGATATAGAAGCATGACAATATGCGCAGACCGGAGGGAAAAGATCGTCTCTTTGTGGCACTCAAATCACGCGTATTCTGTTATGCAGGCAAATGTTCTATCGTTAGACTAGAAAGGACTTCAGTTCTCTGTTGCTACGATTACAACTCAGCACGTCTCACGCAGTAAATGTTTTAAGAAACTACGGATTAGAGAGTCATAGAATCATAGTCAGCGAGAATAATGGGCGATGACAGGATATTAGAGGAAAAAGATATAAGTGAAAAAATATAAGTATAAGTATAAAAAGATAAAAGTGTGAGTA